AAATGGTTCTCAAAATATACCCTAAAAACTATAGAACACTTCTGAAAGAAATTGAGGAAGACACAAAGAGATGGAAAAATATTCCATGCTCATGGATTGGCAGAATTAATATTGGGAAAATGTCAATGTTACCCAGGGCAATTTACACGTATAATGCAATCCCTATCAAAATACCATGGACTTTCTTCAGAGACTTAGAACAAATTATTTTAAGATTTGTGTGGAATCAGAAAAGACCCCAAACAGCCAGGGGAATTTTAAAAAAGAAAACCATATCTGGGGGCATCACAATGCCAGATTTCAGGTTGTACTACAAAGCTGTGTTCATCAAGACAGTGTGGTACTGGCACAAAAACAGACATATAGATCAATGGAACAGAACAGAGAACCCAGAAGTGGACCCTGAACTTTATGCTCAACTAATATACGATAAAGGAGGAAAGACAATCCACTGGAAGAAAGACAGTCTCTTCAATAAATGGTGCTGGGAAAATTGGACATCCACATGCAGAAGAATGAAACTGGACCACTCTCTTGCACCATACACAAAGATAAACTCAAAATAGATGAAAGATCTAAATGTGAGACAAGATTCCATCAAAATCCCAGAGGAGAACTCAGGCAACACCCTTTTTGAACTTGGCCACAGTAACCGGAGAAGGACAGTGTATGTTCTCATTCATTTGGGGAATATGAATAATAGTGAAAGGGAATATAAGGGAAGGGAGAAGAAATGTGTGAGAAATATCAGAAAGGGAGACAGAACATAAAGACTTCTAACTCTGGGAAATGAACTAGGGGTGGTGGAGGGGGAGGAGGGCGGGGGGTGGGGGTGAATGGGTGACGGGCACTGAGGGGTACACTTGACGGGATGAGCACTGGGTGTTATTCTGTATGTTGGTAAATTGAACACCAATAAAAATTAATTTATAAAAAAAAAACTATAAAAAAAAAACAAAATCTTAAATTGCACTTTCCTAATGCTAATGATTTTTAGCACCTCTTCATGCATTTATTGCCATCTTTATATTTCCTCAAAAATGCTGCCTATTGCCCGGGTGGCTCAGTGGTTTACCACCACCTTCAGCGCAGGGCGTGATCCTGGAGACCCGGGATCGAGTCCCACGTCGGGCTCCCTGCATGGAGCCTGCTTCTCCCTCTGCCTGTGTCTCTGCCTCTCTCTCTCTCTCTCTCTCTCTCTCTCTGTGTGTGTGTGTGTCTCTCATAAATAAATAAATAAAATCTTTTTAAAAAAAAGGTTGCCTATTTATTTTAATATATTCATAGAATCTCAAATGATATCACAGGATACCAAGTGATTTCTTCAAGTAGTAGGTGTATTTATTTATTTTTTTTAGTAGGTGTATTTATTAATAAAATATGTTAATTTTCTGAAGGAAGCCCCTTTGTGACATAACCCCAGGGACTGCGTAGAATAAAATTACAGTGTATATACCATCATATAATTAATAGCCATTAATTAAAGTTTAAGAAATATTTTCAAACCAGCAAAAAAGTATAAATAATATAAAAGACCCAAACAAAATGAATCAAGGAAAAAATCAAACCTTCGATCTTTTCCAAATAATTTAAAAACAGTATATAAGCTTGTAATTGTAAGAAGACAAAGGCTTATAATGATTTATTTGAAAAAGTATCTGTACAGAATGATATGATATAATAAATATATAACAAATAGAAGGTGAGAAAAGATAATTATTTAATCTAATATTTCTAAATTGGATTATTTTCAAGCAGCTTTCTTTATACTTGTTATTACTTTTTATTAACAACACAAGGAAAACTTTTGAAAAGTCTTGGGATAGTATGACAAGTAGACTTATCACAGGGGAACCAAATGTTGACATGATAGTTATTGAAGCTATATTTTGAATGCAGTTGATAATTCTCCTGAATAATTGAATTTACTTGAGTGAAAATATTCATTCAACCAATATTTATTAAACATCCACTGTATATCTTTTAAGCAAGTACTGTATAAGGCTCTTGGAATTAATGGACAAATGAAATATTCCTTGATTTTAAGGGACTTAAAATACAGTAGAGAGAAACAGAATTGTAAAAAGCTTAAGTGCAACTAGTATTTCCTTGAAATATTAAAAAAAAAAGGAATGAGATCTTATGGTCTAAGATAGTTAACTCTTTGAGCTTACAATAAATCTATATCGAATATTTATTTGATAGACTTTACTTATATGGCACTTTAATTTCTAATTTATTTTCATTTAGAAATTTTAAATTCATGAAAAATATACATCAAAATGAGAGAAAGATGAAAAGAGATAATAGTTAATAGCAACATTCTGTACCTAACAGTTATGAATTATATTGTTTATTTTTGCTCTATTAATTTCTCCAAAAGATTTGATTTAATTCTGGCTAATGGAAATGCTGTATATATCTGTTGTGTGCTGTAAATACTTACATATTTCAATTATTTAATAACTAAATATTGTGTAATTCTAGATTATACATGTGAGTTAACAGTCACATATTACAATGTGAAATAGTATTCTAATATTAGAACCCATGTATTAGAATGTGAATAGTCATTTCCCATGAACTTGATGTGTTTCTCAGACTGAAGACCCCAAGAAAGAAAAATAGCACAAAGTAGTATTCTCTATAGACCTGGGGGGATTTCACAAAGGAGAATGGGAAGACATGTTCCTAATCCCGCTCAGGACATGAAAGAAAAGATGCTATTTGGATAGAAGATTTCTTGAATGTTTCAAATTTGAAAGGGTTAGATGAAGTGTGTTAAAAATATCCACCACTCTGAAAAATATCTGAAATAGAATTTTCCTTTTAAAAGTCTCAGGAGCAAGGAAGATGGGCTGGATTCCTTCTCAAGGTCACTCTAACCTCTAAGGAATCTACGCATTCTCTTCTGAAAAGAACAGAGCCTCCTTCTCTCTTACCCCCAAGCTGATCAGGTGAGGTAATTGGCATTCTGTGATTGCTTTCTTAATGATGATACCACAATAAACAGTGCCATCTACTGACTAAATCCTATAAATGACTACCTCTCTTGCGTAAATACTCATTTGTTATTATCTACATATACATGAGTTGCATGCTCTATTATACTTATTTGAAACTACAAGGAATGTATAGATGGTCTATTTTGATCTTATTTTTGTTTTACAGTTGAGAAGATTGAGATACAGAAAGATCGATTTGCCCAAAATTTTGACAGTATTTTTCAGTGAGCACCACTGTGAACTGAACCCGGGAATAGAAGGAAATTTAACACTTTGGAGACGGAAATCAATCCACAAAGGTGTCCTTCCATTGGGGGAAAATCTGACAAATATGATTAATGACAAAAAGTATGAAATCCGTACAGCAAGGCAAGTTGAGAAACCGCTGATATAAAGTTTTAGGAGATGGAAATGCTCATATGCAGGTTTAAGTTTAAAAAAATGAATGAGGAAATACTAAGTTATGGTTATTCTGTTCCTCTCTTTAACAACAGAAGGTTGGAACTAATTGTTAATTGTTACAGAAGCTTGATTTGTCCTCACAGATGTGTGGTATAAAATCAACCTATTGTGCTTTAGGTTGAACTACAAAACTAAAATAAGTATAGCCATCTTACATGTAATCTTTGGATTTATGAAAAGATGAAATAGGGCCATCTCAATGAAATGCTCCCATTTTGTCATTATTAAGAATTAAGGAATTAAGGCTTGGTTTGTATTTGTGCCCAAGACATAAGTTACATCTGCAACTATTAGAGCACATCTAAATATTATTTTCAAATGGGCTCAGAGTTGTATTCTTTGTAGCATTTTAGCGCAGTGTGTCTTACTCAAGTGAGGGATTTAAGTATTTATGGAATGGAATACCGATGGAGGAGTACTCTACCTTCTTATTTAAGGTAGTAAGTTGACCATTACAATAGACTCAGGTATTATTGTGTTTAAGCTCATACAAATTTATACAAAATGTATGAGAATATTAGAAAATATACACTGAATTAAGAACCTTAGTGTTAACCAGGAGCAGAATTAATCATTTTAGAAAATATTTCCAATCATCATACTCAAACTTTGTCCCAATATCTCCTACCTTTTAAATTCAGAAAAAAACTAAAAGTACTGAAAACCCAATTTTGACTTTGAGACCATGCGAGCATAGAGGGTTGAAAAACATGTCTTTTTCTCTCTGTTACTCATACCTCCAGCTCTTTTCCGTGAGTCAAACTGAGTTTTCTAAGGAACCGGAATTCACCAGAACTAAGATGTCAATGGTAATAACATAAGAAAAACACCAGAGATAAGTGCTTTCATAGGTGCTGGGCTGCGCTGACAGACGGACATGGCACTGAAAGTGATCTGGGGACTAAAGAGAGAGATCCTTGCTGAGGGCATTGTGCTAGTCTTCACAAAGATGTCCTCTTGGCACAGAGTCAGGATACATCCCAGAGAAGCTGACTGCAGCAACTGGAGCAAATCCTGAAACCACATGACCATTCAACAGAACACACAGATACTTGTTCTCTCTACATGTATATTGGGGTTTGGATAGGATTTCAAAATATTTCACACTCAGCATCTTCTGTTTCCAAGATCTTATTTGATGACCCTTTTCTCTTTCCATTATTTGATCAGAAGATTTGGAAAGCATGACTCTGCTTCATTTTTCTATTCACCTCAGAATTAAGTTTAATACTCTATTTGCCATCTATGTGGTTGCATTTATGTTGCTGTGGCTTTTTTTTTTTTTTTACCACATATTGGCAGAAGTTTTTGACCCACTTAGATAACATTCATTTGCAGGTGACAGATGGAATCAGAATAATCCTGTATGAACATGCTCCTGCTTCTTCCTGCTTTCTCTTTATTGTGGTGAAGCTCTCCAATCCTCAGGCATCCCAAACTGAGGCGTTCACTACGTGATTAACCAACATCTGTGGGCTCCTTATAAGCTGCTTCATGTAAGTTTGGTAGTTAACAAATTGACTTTGGATTTGATCAAGTTTAAATTTAAAGGAAAGAGAGAGAGAAAGGGAGAGTAGAGAAAAAGAGAGATTGAATCATGCATATATTTACAGAGACAACAGCAACAACCAGTGCAAAATACTCACTCTGAGAAGGTAAGACATTCCACCTCTTAGCTTGTTATTTTACTTTTAAGCACAAATGGGTTGTCAAGGAATTTTCAAATTTAGAATGCAATATACGATTTTCCCTAACAGCAGAGTACTTGCCATTTTCTAGGACATGACACCAGGGCGGTAGAAGCTTTCACCTTCTGATAACAGCTCCTTAATATACAGACAGAAGTTTTTCCATCATTAATGCTCTGGCTTTTTTTTTTAAGTTTTATTTATTTATTTGAGAGAGAGAGAGAGCACAAGTAGAGGGAGCAGCAGATGGAGAGGGAGAAGCAGGCTTCCTGCTGAGCAGGGAGCCAGACAGGGGGCCATCCCAGGACTCTAAGATCATGACCTGAGCAGAAGGCAGGTGCTTAACCGACTGAGCCACCCAGGTGCCCTTGACTTTTTTTTTAAATAACAGGTGAAAACTAAGTATATATTTGGAAAAATCTTGCCCCCTTAGTGAAAAATCTCATTAAAGAGTGTGCTTATGTCTTTCCAGAGAGAGTAATAATACCAACTGTCCATTACATGCAGGTCATAATCACTCATGGTTTTAAAGTCATACTGACTGAGAGAGAGAGACGTTGTTTTTTTCTATTTCATATTACTCATATAAAGTGATCTTTACTAAATCCAAAGTCAAATATGTGGAGGACTCTGTTTAATTTTATGTAGGCGAAAATTCTGAGAGAGAGATGGAATTCTTAATATGCTTTTTTTGCCTTATGGAATAACTACTTTACTAGACAAATTCTCTCTAATTGTCAAGGCCATGCCTTAAATTAGCAAATATGATTCATGAACGTGATTCAAAGTGAAGTTTAAATAAGTACAACAATTACTTCCTCTATATCAGGTGACTAAATCTGGGACATATAATAGGATCTAGCCAATTATCTAAGCAGCAGACAGAAAATTTCTAAAAAGTAAATTCTCCGCTTGATTAATGTCCTTCAGCTACCACTTTTCAGAAGAAATATTGAAAGTTGTTAAAAATTACAACCAAGAACTTGCCACTAAACATAATCAAAAAACTGTCCTGTGGTTTCATTAGTTCTAATCTCCGCTGATTTGGGAAAAGGAATATCAATGTACTGCCCACTCACCCCTCTTTTTATTTATTTTTTTATTTTTTTAAAATCTTTAAGCATTTTTTTTTTTTTATGATAGTCACAGAGAGAAAGAGAGAGGCAGAGACACAGGCAGAGGGAGAAGCAGGCTCCATGCACCGGGAGCCCGATGTGGGATTTGATCTCGAGTCTCCAGGATCGCGCTCTGGGCCAAAGGCAGGCACCAAACCGCTGCGCCACCCAGGGATCCCTCACCCCTCTTTTTAAAAAGATCTTATCCATTTATTCGTGAGAGACACAGAGACAGAGGCAGAGGTAAAAGCAGGCTCCGTGAAGGGAGCGCGATGTGGGACTCAATTCCAGGACCCCGAGATTACAACCTGAGCCAAAGGCAGATGCTCAACCACTGAGCCACCCAGGTGGCCCTCACACCCCCTTTTATTAAGTACTTTTCTAAAGTGTCCTGAGGAGGAAAGAACAAGGTCAGCTGCTACTTCAGCCATTCTGGTTCTTTGGAACCCAATTCACTGAACTACCCATATATTTAGATCCAGCCACATTTCTGAGCAGATATTGATAAAGATAGGTAAATATTAACAATCTCTTCCAACTCTGGCAAATAGAGCTTGGAAATAAGTTTCAATATACAAAATTCAGTGACCCAGTCAGGAGAGTTATGTTCCCATGTACCATCTCCATACTGCCTCCCAGGTGGATACACCTGTGTTTCCAACACACCTGGAATAGAGTCAGAGATACCCAAGGGAAGCCCATTCAGGTAGAATGTAACACTATTCAGAACAGGGCATCAGCTGAAGTTTTTTTTTTTCCTTAGTTCTTTAGTTTTCCCATCTAAAATAGAGCCCTGGCTTGAAGACCTGCCTAATTCTTGACATTTTCTCTGTCCAGGGACTGTATCTCCTTCATATATATTATATAGATATAGATATAGATATAGATATAGATATAGATATAGATATAGATATAGATATAGATAGATATACAGATATACCTCCCATACTCTAGGAGGTCCTTTATAAGCAGGGTGAAAATATAATTTAGTATCCTTCTTTTGAGCCTCTTAAAAATGAAAAGGAAAGATTACTAATGATAACACCAGGATAACAGGCACAGAGGGCTGCATGAGCAAGTCAAGATATATGAGCATCCTATTATAAGCCTCTAGGGTTTTAGAAAAGAAATGAAAAGTCTATGGTTGGGTTGGGTGCTGCTTAGCAGATGCCTTATCATTATTCAGAGTTCATTCCTTTATGATTGTTCCTTGTCTGTCACTTCAAATGCTCCCTGGCGAAGAGATCACCTGCTCTATCCAGTTCTCAGCTTTACAACTGATCCACCTTACATTCACCACACATACAACATATGTACAACTATCTTATACAGAGTAGGAATGCATAGTAGGAATAAATAAATAATCAAGTGATATTGCTGATTTGCTAGAGTAATATAAATTCAAAACATTGACCAAGGGCTTCGGAAAGAGATTATCTAAAGTTTGCTCAGAATTATTATCACAATCTATTTGACAGAGTCCCTTGTAATATTTTGGGACAAGTGTCTCATACAAACTAATGAATGATTAGCATATTGTTCATTCAGAGAATCATCACCATTATCACCCCAGTCTACCATGCAAGATTTGTTTCTTTGGGCTTGAGTGTATTTCAAACATACATTTTCTACTCTAATATTTTCCATTTTAATTTTTACAAGGTAGGTTTGAAAATATGGCTGCATTTTCCACTGTACAATATTTTCTTTAGTTTATAATGTTTAGTTGCCACATATCCTTTGAGATATTCTGAACTTCTTTTAATAAGTACTTTTACCATTTTAGGAGGTTATGTTTTAAAAAAAGAAATGAGGGACATCTGGGTGGTTCAGTGGTTGAGTGTCTGCCTTCGGCTCAGGGTGTGATCACAGGGTCCCGGGATCGAGTCCCACATCGGGTTTCCCTGCAAGGGGCCTGCTCCTCTCTCTGCCTATGTCTCTTCCTCTCATGAATAAATAAATAAAATCTTTTAAAAAATAAAAAATAAAAAAAGAAATGAAGAACAAAACCACAATGAGATACTACTTCACATCCATTAAGATGGCTATAATAAAAACAACATATAGTAACAAGTATTGACAAGAATGTGAAGAAATTAAAACCCTCATACACTGATGGTGGGAAAGTAAAATGGTGCATCCACTTTGGAAAACAGTCTACTAGTTACTCAAAAAGTTAAACACAGTGTTATCATTTGATCTAGCAATTCCACTCCTAGGTATATAGCTAAGACAAATGAAACCATGTGAACACACAAAAACTTATACACAAATGTTCATAGCAGCATTATTTCTAAGACCCAAAAAGTAAAAATGCACAACTCGAATGTCCATTGCCTAATGAATGGATAAATAAAATGTGGCATATTCATAGAGCAGAATATTATTTGGCAATAAAAGAAATAAAATACTGATATATGCTACAATCCTGATGAACCTTGAAAGCACTGGCATAGGTGAAAGAAGTCTGTCACCAAAAAACACAATGCCATTTGTAGGAAATCTCCAGGATAAGCCAATATCTACAAACAAAAAGCAGACTCACGGTTGCCTTGTGGGAAGGTTAGGGACTAACTGTTACGATTACTTTTTGGGGTAAGAAAATGCTCTAAAATTGATGGTGGTGATAGATGCATGACTCTGTGAATATACTAAGACCCAGTGAATTATATACTTTAAAAGCCAGTAAATTATGTACTAAAAGCCAGTGGTTTGCATATGTGAATTATATCTCAATAAAGTTGTTTTAAAATAAGGTAGCTAAAATATTTTGTCTTGCAGAATAATATGTCAAGGACACATTCACAATTAAGAGATGTGTACCAAAATGACATAAATTTAAAATAGGAGTGCATAAACAATTAAGCCAAATTACAAATTAAATCATGAAGCACCCAACTCAGTAAGGTGTGATTTCCAAAAAAAAAAAAAAAAAAAAAACTCACATAGAGAAAGAATGGCCCAGGTTTTGGAATTTAAGATCCGACTTGAGTAGTGATATAAAGATAAATTGCCCAAACTCTGATGTATAGATATACCATAACTGGGCAAACCCTAGTAGATTTCTTCTCGACAGAAGATCTGTCCATTAAAGCCCAAAGGTAGAAATAATGGTTGAAAAATTTAATAGCTGCTAATGAGTATTCACACATGCACTTAACTTTTCCTCAATTTAAGTTAGTATTTATAAGTGCAAGAGAGGGGAAATAAAGCAGCTTGGGTTTGAATCCTCTATGTAATTTGATAGCTGTGTAACCCAAGGCAATGTACTTCACCTCTCCAAGCCCCAGTGTCATCATCTCTAAAATAACATATACTTTATAAGTTGTCGTAAAATAAACAGAAATGCTCTTGGCATATACAACAAGCGCCCAGATTTGCTGTTTTTATTACCCCTACTTCTAAAAACATCAGATGCAGGCTGTCATAGCTTGATGCATCTTTCCTCTGGCAATAGATTTCAGGCAGACATAGGGAAGCAAGCAAATGTCTGCTAATGAGTCTGAAACTTTAGTGTCCAATCAGTGATGAATGAGGATGAAAATCTAAAAAAACACTCTTTAAATTGCAAATGATACAGTATCTCATCCAATGGAAAATTATACCAGTCATTCTGACATCGGAGAACCGTGAACGAAGACCATGAAAACATTTCACTTCTCTGTGGATTAAGTGAACATTTGTACATATATTCCCTATTTGTTGTGTACTCCAATCTACCTTTAAATTTTAAAACAGCTCATTTTGTGTTTTCTTGTACTTTGGTTTTGATCTTTCATCCTCAAGTTTTAGTGTTGGAAGAAAATCTAGGAAAATCTCCTTTGTCTCTTCAGGAATAACTGATTATGATGCTTTCAAATTTCTGAGATTATTAACAGAAATAATGTGCAAAAACCACATGGTATCATTGAATTCTAAATTATTTTAATAATAATTATACTACTTTCCATCTTGCAAAGCAGTTAAACTGAATGTTGGCATAGAAAAACATTTGTTGCTAAAAAATGAAAATAGCTACTTTTTTCTTCCTTTTTTGACATATACATGTTCTGAATTCCATATAGTAATGAATATCTACTAACACAATATGGGACAATTTCAATATAATGTAAAATATCAAGAGTGCCAGATTTGACATTAGATTATTGGGGTTTTATTTCTGCTTCTCCTGCCTGCTAACTGATTTGGGGACATTATTTACTCTGTGCCTTGGTTTTAATGGTATAATAAAAATAATAATAATAATTCGCCAGCCTACTAGGGCTTCTGCAAGTGAAAACTGTTTAAAAGAAGACTTGGAGTATAAGAGCTCAATAAGGCTGTTATCAGTTAATAATTACTTAATAAGTAGTCAAATCAAGAGGGCAATAAATATGCAGATTCTCTTACTTGAAAACATTACAACTATTTACAGCTATGAATTAGAAACTGACCTTCTCAAGGGCAGGGGCTACGCCATATCAATCCTTGTAACCCTGTTATCTCTACTGGTGCCTGGCATGTAGTCCACACATGATGAACACGTGGGGAATGATCCTGCCCAAACCTCAGGCTTGCCTGGTTCCTCTCACCATCCAATTTCAGCTTGAAGCCCTCACCCTGGAGACCCCTCCTGGTACCACCAAGTTAAAAGCAGCTCCAGTTACTTACTACTCTCAGCTCAGTATCTACTTTACTATCTTCACATCTATTATCCACACTGCAAATTATCTTTTCCTTTGTTTACTTACTTACTATTTTTTATTCTTCCCACTAGAATACAAAATTCACGGAACTCATGAAGCTAGTACCTATTTTATTTGCAATATCATCACAGAACAGTGCTAGAAACATGCTAGTTTCTCCACAAATACCTGCCAAATGAAGGAATTTATTGTTGGGTAGAAGTGAAGTTTTAGGACATAAGGCAGTAACTTGTAAAGAGGAGGTATTTCCTGTCTTTCCAACTTGTTGTACTTTGGATTTTCCGCAAGGTAGACTTTGCGTTTGGGATGTTTTTCAGGGAGCGTCTCTGGAATCAATACCTGTGGCGGTGGAGGGGAGACATAGAATTGACCAGGAAGAAATGTAGCTGTGAAGTAGGCTGGCAGCCCCAACCAAGCTCCCAGGTTAGCTTTGGAACTGCAATGTCTCATCAGTTTTCCTGTGTTGTGTTGAAACAGCCATGACTTTACACATCCGTCTCCATCAGCCATTGTCTGTGGCTAACCCACAAAAGGGCGTGACCTTGGCAAGGGGGGTGCCTGCAGCTGAGGGGATCCGGGCAGGATCAAGGCTGAAAGGGAAATCTGGATGGTGCATCTTTACTTCCACTGCTCATTCTGTATTTCTCATTCTTCCTTTTAGACCTTTTGCTCTATCACTCAAAAACTTTACTGTGTGTTTTCCATGTGCCAGGCAGAGTCTCGAGTTCTGGGAATTTAACAATGAGCAAAACAGAGCCCTTAACCTCAAGGGGGTCAACATTCTAGAAAAGGAAGATAAATATATATAACTTAGGAAATTGTAAGTGTTATAAAGAAAAATACTTCAGGTTAAGGTGAGGAAGATATTTTTTAGCTGACATCTGAAGGAAGTTGGGGAGAAAGTCCTATTTGTATTTGGACAACGCATACCAGGAGAAGGAGCATCAAATGGGAAGCGCTGATGTATTCATGCAGCACCAAGAGGGGCCCATGTTGGGAGGGTTGTAGGGTATGAGACCAGTTGAGGTGGGGTGGCTGATTTATGAATTGTATTCTAAGGTTCAAATTTTGGAAACTTAGAGTTTTCTTCAGTACTTTCCTGACTCTCTGCCCAAAAGTTAGTCTTTTATCCTGACAAAGCATATTTAGTTTGGGATTTGACAAACTCTCCTATTTATATGTTGTTCCATGGACTTATTTGGCTGTTTACAAGCAAGGGGCAAGAAAAGCCTCTGTAACCAATGATTGTAATTTTACTTCAACAGCTGAAGTCTCCCAGATGTTTGCTGTTTTCCACTTTCCTCAGAGAGAGGTTTTAGATGCATCTGTTTGCTGAATTAATATTTTACATCTTGTTTTCCCTTCCTTGGAGGATTTCTTTTCTCTTAAGAGGTTTTATTTTTAATTACTTTTTCTTTATATTCATGATATTGGTTATTTGAGGTAGGTGATCTAACCTGATACACAATTCACCATAGACTTTGTAACAAGAGCAGAACTATGGCTAAACAAAACCAAAACAAAAAAGGCTATGCTATGCACTTTCATCAGGGGGGAACATGAGGCATTCCTCCCAGTATCCTTAGAGAAACTAAGTGGCTTTATATTCATAAATATTCTACTTTAACATATGTAATTCATCATGCATCAGCAAAGAGGCAAACAAGATCACATTTGTACGAAGCAAGGACAGAAGTCAGTGTGGGGCCGGGTAGCCTCAGGGCCCAGAGGATGCTAACCCACCAAACTGCAGAGTCAAACACCTAGCCCCAATAGTTATAGAAGCACAATAAGAACAAACCTGAGCCAATCTCATTTGGAACAGCTTCTTCAGCATCTAAGTTCACAACTGAGTATTCAATTCTCTTGATAGCCTCCAGAAGGATGGTGACTCCTTCTCAGGCTTTGCCTTCAGAGCTTACCCCAATGCCAATGGAAGCTTAGAATCACTCTCATTTAACCAGAGATAAGTAAAGCAAAAGAAAATGAGGGGAAATATTGCATGAGGTAGAACTGAATTAAAAACTGGAAAATAATTTCTGACCAACCAATATATTCTTCTCCTTGAAAGTTGGGAAAGTGTGCACTGGAACACTGTTATCTCCCCATCTCTCTTTCATTAAGGGAAGAACAGAAAACCTATCTTCCTTTGAGGACAGAGTAAGCATTCTTTGATATACTCTCAAGTGCCATGATATAATCCGGAGAATAGTTGGGGTTCATGTAAAGACAGTAGAGTCTTCAGCAGCTGCCCTGCAAGTAGTCTACTAGCTGCTGACATTTGACATCTTATTTTTGTTCTCCTTTGGGGAAGAAGAATATAGAGCTTAAGATGACACTCCATCTATCCACAGCCAAGAAATGAATGACCAGGGTCAAAAGAGCTATGATAGGCGCTCGAATGGAATTTAAAGTTCAGAGCATGTAACCAAGACAAACAATATAACGGGTTCTCAGAAATCCTAAATTTCTATTTCTCTAGCTTTCCGTGTGTTCTCTTCTTATTTGATTTTGCATTCTCATCTTACTCCTAAATCTTTACTTGCCTCTGGTCTTTTATGCTAGCCAAGATACCAACAAGTTAGTACAAATAAATGAGACAATGATATGGCCTGCTGAGTTAAGAAGAACTTTATTAGAATGTAGGACCCAAAGATGATGTAAATTTGGTAGATGGAAAGAAAGTAGATATGACAATCAGAAGAAAAAATAAGAGCATGCAGTACACACTAAATTGTCTTTGCTGGGAAGCAGTGTGTATGTGGTGGTGGTTGGAAATATGATGAAAGGGAGAGGTTTAGGTGGTCTAGGGCAGAAGAAGAAACTTTAATGTGGATGACAACTATTTTATATATTTTTCTCTTTTCAGCATAGTTGCTATTTAACTCCCCTCCTTAGTCTCAACTGCTAAGTCCAGTCATCTCCTGCTCTGAGATGAGCTGAGTTCTTATGATAAAAGTTTTGAATGGGCGTGGAGAATATTCTTTCAGTCCCTGATCTATAAAATATATAACTCATACATTGTCAAGAGTTCTTTGCAAACAAATGAAATGGTTCTATTAAGTAAAGATAAAAATTCATTAGAAAGATACTGATGATAAAACGTATGCATAGGGACAGATAAACAAACTTTGGGAAACCTACAAATCTGATTCTTTGGATGTAATTTCAAGATACCAGGAACCATCTCTAAAGACTGTTGCAATGGGAAGATTCTGTTCCAATCATTTTCCTTCTTCATTTATCTCTCCTAAGGATAGAAATTGCCATGTTGAAAGTATGATTGGCCTAGCCTGAATAACACATCAACCATTACTGGATGGGATGAGGGATGGGAAGGAAGGGGGAGGGGGTCCTATGACTGCCATCCCAGCAAAATCATGTGGAATGGGAGAGGGTCAGGCATACACCCAAAGAAGGGATACCAAGAAGATCAAAACCAGATGAACACATTATAATTTGGGAGCTGACACTGCTCATGTTTTCTATCATGATAACAAAAGAAGTGCAGCAGAAAAAGGGAGGTTGTGAAGCAAAGGGAGGAAAGAAGAGAGAGAGAAAATGAGTAATTTGAAATGTCAGGAATTTCAAAAGATGCTTGGTTTGTAGCTGAAGGCACTACTGCAAATTCCTGGCACACAACTATTTGAAACAAAGAAAATAAATAATATTACTATTGTTCTTTGAAAGAAAACATTAAGCATGACTTTGTGAAATGGAAAATTCTCTTGAAACTTATTTTGGTAAGTCTCTTTCATTAGTCTGTATCTATTTTTCCCCTCTTACGTGTTTTACAATCCAAACTTAATATTTAAAGTGGGTTAATGGCAAAAATAAAGACGAGGTCATTTAGTGAAGATTTTTCTTCATCACATCAGAGTTAATTGAAAGGGCCCATCTTCCGTTCTCCTCAAAGTCAAATAACACATGGGATACATTTGCAAGCTCCTCATTGAAAGCCAGTAGTGAACTCAAGTGCCATCAGTCACTCCACCCTGACCCAGAATTTTTAAAAGTTGTTTTTATTAGCTTTGTGCCAGTTAAAATAATGGACTCATACAACTTTATTAGAAGAGTTACTTTATATTATTTTAAGAAAAATTGTTAAACCTAATTTGATGTTTTCATTTAACTTTTTTCCATCGTTCCTATTTTTACATGCAAAATATGTTAACACCTTGACTTGCCTTATTGTTATCTTTTCCTAAGAATTGCAGTTCATAGTAACAACACAAATGTTCATCAATAAGACACTGATTAAATAAACTATAGCTTATGCATATATGGAGTACTATGTGGAAGTTAAAAAGAACAGGGTAGCTCCATCTGCACTGTCAATGGCATGGTGAAAAAAGCAAGTTATAAAACATACCCTACATTTTATAACATATAAAAATTAAACAAAAGCAAAATTACATATATATATATATATATATATATATATATATATATATACGCATTGAAGAGGGTCCAGAAGAGCCTAGAAGGATATGCATCTGGGAAGGGAACTGGATTGGATATGGGGAAAAGTATACAATTGCTTTTTGGTATTATTTGACTTGTAATGGGAATATATTACTTGCACACTTAAAAATAAATTTAAAAATCTTCAAAGAATCATTACCTAAAGAGCTTTTTAAAAAAAACTAATGAAAAAAATGAAAAAAAAAAAAAAACTAATGAAAATAGGGGCTCTTGGATGGTTCAGTGAGTTGAGCTCTTGATTTTGGTTCAGGTCATGCTTTAGGATTCAGATCAAGCCCCATGTCGGCTCCATGCTCACTTGGGAGTCTGCTTAGGAGTCTCTCTCCCTTTCCCTCTACCCCTCCCCCCGCTCACTCTTTGTCTCTCCCTCTCATGTAAATAACTAAGTCTAAAAAAAAAAACTGGTGAAAACAACATGAATAATTATCTTCATTACTACAAATCCTCAGTTAATTCAAGCTCACTCAAATCAAAATGCAGTGTTCTGTCTTCCCAATTGATAATGTTTTTAAAGGTCAAAGGTCAAGTCTGTAATTCTGCTGTTTGACCTCTCTAGTATTGAGTATTATACTGCCATGATTAAGGCTCAGTCAGTACTCTAAGGATCAATGCTCATTTGAGTTCTACCTATTGTATAATAATTGTGTTTGTATGCCAAAAACTTGGTTATAGTTCTCATTGAGATAAAGCAGGTATTTATTCTCAACAAACATACCATACAAATCAATACAGAACTTTTCCTGAGCAACTATTATATGCTGGACACTACAATAAATGATTTGAATATAAATAATAATTATTACTTACTAGTCTTAACAAGCTTGTGAGGCAGGTCAGGTGTTCCCAATCCTTTCAAACCCCTAGAATCACCTCGGAAGCTTTTTAACAAGAGATTCTCATTCAATTGATAAATGGATGGGCCCAAAGCACCACTTTTG